AATCAACTCTTTCTGACACACAACAGTCAAGGAAACAATTTAACAGTCAAAATACTCGTCAGAACAAGATATGTCATTTATAACGAGAACGAATGCAGTGAATTTTCTTTTCTGAAACAACAAACCAAATCAATCGCATCGCAACAAAGCGAAGTTGTACTTGGGGAATTCGTGAGGAAATGTTTGCGAATAACAGCAAGAAATGTTTGTTAGAAATACTGAGAAGTTTTAATCAACTGGAACAATGAACTCACGATATGTTTCTTTCGTTTTCTGAGTTGATTCTGAGCTTGTGCCGCAAGACTTGCGTTATAGGCTAACTGCGCTTTGGCTGCCGTCGGTCCAGGTGTGTTTCCGGTGGTTCCCAGCAGCTGCATTGATAGTTCCTGAAAAAAAAAGAAAACGCTCAATTCATGAATCAATCACGTGTCGTTAGAGGTTTTCTGTGATGCAATGAAAAATTTCGGAACAAATTGCAAAAGCTCATTTTTGATGGATTCACTTCATTTTCTGTGCGAATTTATTAACAACAGCTCCGTGATATGAATCATCGTGCACAATTAACGAAAACACCATTGCAGGTTAGACACGAGATCAATTCTGTTGCATACCTGACACGAATTGAACAACTCAGCAGTTCGATCTTCCATTAAGGCTGGATCGATTTTACCGTGCTGTTTTGAGTGATGATTTTCCATTTGATCTTTTCGATAGTGCTCAACATCACAGTTCGGATACTTGCATCGGAAGCGATAGATCTGAAAGAAACGCGAAATAATCCACTAAAGTGACAGATATCAGTTTCCTTCTCTCTCTCAATCATTTCGATGCTGCATAAAATTGAAATCGCTCTTCATCGACACTGAATCGCTTCGATGGTCTCACCAAAAACAAAACGGATCAAACTGTTGTTGCAGCAAATTCAAATAAGTTGTAAGTTTTCTGAACATATATTCAAAAGTCATACATTGCAATCCTTGCCAAGATGATAGAACATATGCATTTGCCTTGCGCCCGCTGTGACCGGTTTCTTGCATTTGCTGCATTCACCGAGAACACGTTTCTTTGAGACACTGAAATGGAACGCGATAGAAAGTGCGTTTCGATCATCAACATCATTGGAATTTATTTCGGAATTAACTAAACATTAAAACACCCAAGAAACTGACGACAAATTATCTCCACTGAAATTATTTTACGAAACCAAATCAACTCGTACAGCAAGTGCGATTAAATTTGCGGTGAAAGACTGCACGAAGTAGTCAGTGCGCGGTGAGGTACTGCACGAAATATATGATATTTAAGAACAGAACTGTATTAACAAAAGACTGAATTGAATACCTGCTCGAGTTAGCCTTTGACCTTGAACTGCTATACACTCCGTTAACACTTCGTCTTCGCAAGCCATTCACATCG